TCACGGTAATTTTGTGCCTCATTCATCGCCTTTATCAGTATCTTATTCTTATGGTCCACGTTCCTCACCAATGCCTCAAAACAACGAAAAAAATAAAGATGCTGAAGTGTGTTACACAAACGAGTATAATTTTTAAGAATATTTTTACTGGGACACGCCCAAAACGGCGCAAGGCCATAACGGCGCAAAGCCATAACTTTCTTCAAGATTCACGAAGTTGGCCAAATTTGGTATCAAACGATTCCTCTCAACGAGCTAGGGAGATTGGTACCAAAATTGTTAAGGGCCAGCTATTCACCAGCAAGTTGTGGCCTCGCGCCGTTATGGACTCGCGCCGTTTTGGGCTTTACCCATTTTTGCTTAATTTTTAAAGAAATTTTTTAAAAATTTTCAGTGCCGACATACAAAATCAGCGACCTCCAAGAACTTTGCCAAATCCTTTAAAAAATTTGAGCGCTCAAAAGAACAGTAGATCAATACTTAAAAATCCGTCTGAGGGAAGAGGAGAGTCACAAGAAAGGAGAGGTTTTAAGCATGGTTCAAATCAGAGTTTGGCTAGTAATTCTGAAAAGAAGTCTGTCAACAATAACAGTAATAGACAACCTGTACAACGCAAGGAAACTTTAAAAACTGTGGCTTTTGGGTTAACTACAAAGTTGGAAGAAACTGTTTTGGTTTGATTTTGATGATTTTTTTAAAGGTTTTTGGTTTTATTTTTAAGGGAAAAGAAGGGAAAGTACCTGCAACACCTCGTGATGGCAATAAAACAAAGACTATAATATTTTCTCATGAAGCTCAGTCCTTGCATAAATTGGTTAGTTTTTGGGTATTTATTTATTTTAAGATTAGTAGATTGGGATGGCTTTTTACTAGAGATTAAGATTTTTGAAAAGCCTGTTCCTGGACTCTCATGTTTGATTTATTTACCTGGGTCGGATCCTGGGAGTCCAGAAAAACCCCAGCCCAGGAAAAACCAAGGAAGGTCAAAAAATGCCTGGGCCTGGACTGGGTACAGGAAAAACCCAGGCCTTGGTCCATACAGACCCAGTTCGATCTCTGCTTTTTACTAACAAGCTTCATAATGGTTTTCCTAATGATTTTGAGATTTCCATGGGGTCATTTTTGAATCCATTGACCATTAATCTTTTCGTTAGTTTTATAAGGACCCTGTCCTTAACTCCTTTTATCAAAAATAGATTCAGAAAACTTTCTTGTATCCATAGGTCATCAATTACCTAGGAATCACGAAAAATACCCTCTTTCGCAAGGGTTGCTTCGTCTCTAACCCTTCATTTAATACAAAGGCAAGATTAGGGGTGTTTTTGAGGGCTGCATGGATTCAGACAAAGATCAACCGAACTTTCCTTATCTCTACATTCTCTGAACAATTCCTTGATCTTTGACAGGAATTCTGACTTTTCCCATATTTTTTCAGATTCAAGACCAGAAACATCAAATAGAAACATTACGCGATACTATTGAAGATTTGAGGACTGAACAGGAAAATCAACGTGTTGGGTCTCGTGAATTAATTGATATTATTTCAGGTTTTTTAAACTTTTTATTTTTTCAATTTCCTCTTTTTAGCTCTCGCTACTCGTTTACAAGAAGTGGAAAAACAAAAAACTACGGCAAATACAAGTCTCCCTGCAATTTCGAATTTGTCACTCAAAAATTCCAGCAAAAAAGATTTGCCAACAAAATCAGCACCAACAAAAGTGGATAAAGCGACATCGATTGAAAACGTTCCAAACAACCAAGAAGTCAGACAAAATAAAGAAAATAGAGGAAATCCTGGTGATTTGGTACTTCATCAACGTAATGATTTTCTTCGCCGTTTGGAATCTGAAATGACTAAAAATCCTGTTTTTGAGCAAAGATTACATTCAATGTTGAGAGTTTGGTCTGAAGATAGTTCTGTTCCTCCTGCTATTTATAGGTTTTTATTTTTTTTTATTTTTTATTAAGGGTTGGGTTTTGGGCATGATGTTGTAATACCAAAAGTTGAAATACCAAAGGCTCTAATCAGGCTAGTAACCAGGATTTTTTCGGAAGGGAGGGGGGGGGGGCAAGGAAGGAAAATTTTGAGGATTTTCGTGGGTGTGAACAAAAAAATCACTTTTTTTCTCAATCCCCTCCCAAATTATTTTCTTTTCCTTATTTCGGGGAGCGTGGGAGCGAATTCCCCCCATCCCCCGCTGGTTACGGGTCTGCCTATAATATCTGTTGGAATGGCGTCATAATAGTATTTCGGTGCTTTGTTATTTTGAAGATTCCGGGATTGGGGCCATGGAATAGGTTCGGGGTTAGCTAACCAGGTTGGAGCACTCTCTCGTAAAATAAACGGGTGAATGTTTTCCTATGGGTATGTTTTTGCGGATTACTTTTGCGGACGTTAAAACTATCGGCCATTTTCTAAATTAAAAAAGATTTTTTTAGTAAAAACAACAATCTTCCACAAGAAAACGAGGAAAGTTGTGGTCCGTCAATGGTTATGAGAGTGACAACTCAACGACAAGAAATATTCTATACATCCCCAGGTCGATGTTCTAATAATGTTAGGCGATTTCCTCGTGCTGAAAATATAAGGGATGGTGACAGGCAGAGACATAATTTTCGAAGGGAGAGGGAAGAGAATAATCATAACAATACAAAACCGAATATTAAGGTTAGTTAAATTAAATTTTAGTTTTCGGTTTTCTGTCTTGATTGTGATTTAAAGAAAGTGTTTTAAGGTTGATCGATAGAGTTGGAGGCAGAGGTGGGTCGGAATTTCGATTTCCGACGTTTTTTCCTTCCGTTTTCCGAAAAAATTTTGATTTCCGACTTTTGAGCCAGTTCTGATTTCCGGCTCTTCCGATTTCCGACACCTTTGACTGTTCCGACCCACCTCTGGTTGGAGGTCTCATTGTCTTGTGAATTAATCCCCTTTTTTATTCGTGTAGCTCAAGGAGTTTTAAGAGGTCATCCCAAAGATTAGAGTAGATATTGGAGCTAGGAGGAGGTGAAAAAAATATTTTTTGGTGTCTACGATTTCTAGTTTGTTGTCTTTTAGGGATGTTAAACTCCTTTTTTTAATCGTATAGTTAAGGAAAGATGCTTTTTTGTTAAGGAATAGGCCACAAAATTTATTTTGAATTTGAAATATATCTGGGAATTTTCCCTTGTATTCTAAATATTATTAAGTAGTTTTCATTAAAAATTAGTTTACCTTTCTCCAATCGTCTAAATTAAATTAATCTTTTTTACGTTCCTTTCGACATTTTTTTTCTTCATGGGCAAATCAAAATTAAATTAATTTTTTCAGGTTGTTGAATTGGATGATGATGGAGAAGAAAAAGAAAATAGCTTAAATGAAGAAATTAATGATCATCAACGTCATCAAACAATGTCAAAAAATGTTCGTAGAAGTGAACAAATTGGGACAGACGAAGCTGCTGAATTTTTTCCACAAAGACAAAGTTTTGAAAATGAAAATGATGAGGATGACGGGGATGAATTTTTTGTTGGAGGTGATCATCAGGAGAGAAGAGGACGGGAACGAGGTTTGTTAATTTTTTTTAATTTTTGCGGATAATTTTTTTGCGGACAATTGAGGTTGGCTTCAAATAGGGTTGGTCATTGACTTGTATAAGGTTCTTCTTATAATTTCTATTCCCTTTTCTCCGGCATATTTGTTCTTGTTTTAAATATCCGTTAGAAAATGTTAGTCCGCAAGATTTATTCGCAAATTTAAAATTTTTTGTCCGCAAATTTTCTTTAATTTCTTGTGGGGTCCGTTTATGCTGAAAATTGTCGTCCGCAAGATTTGTCCGCAAATTCGAATTTTGTCCGCAAATTTTTTTAATTTTTTGTGGGGGCCATTTATATAAAAATTGTCGTCCGCAAGATTTGTCCGCAAATTTGAATTTTTTGTCCGCAAATTTTTTTCTTCAACTTTTTTTGGGAGTTCATTTATATAAAAATTTTCCTTTAAGATTCAAGTCATCATCATCACAATAATACTCATCATAATCAAACTTTTGATGATGGTCACGATAACAATAATAATCAACATCGTTATCCATTTACTACTCGACGTCGAAAGCGTGAAGCTACATCTACAATACGAAATCGTTATCGTTAATTAATAAGGGATGAGGAAAAAAATTATTTTTTTAAATTAAATTGGGGGAAAGGTTATTTTATTAAGGTGTCCATTTATATAGAAATCCATATTTTTTCCTTGACTGTGAAATGTACGAAAAACATGTTTTTGGCTTGTTTTAGGGTTTCTAGAAATCCATATTTTCCATTTTTAGCCTTTATATCCATATTTTATGTCCATATTTTTCGAGTTTATATCCATATAAATGGACACTCTAATTTAGGGTTGGAGTTTTCGAATCGGGCCGACGTTTGAGTCATTTTTTCGGGCCGGCCCGACTGACAATGAGTCTTTTTTGGGTCAAAATTCGATGCCCGACGCATCTTTCGGATCGGGCCCCCAACCCTAATATTCATTAAACTTCTTTTTCTTGGATTGTTTTTTTAACTTACTACAAAAATCTCGTTTTGCTATCAGTAATTTATTTTTTGTATGTTTGTTCTATTTTTGGGGTTTATTGAATAAAACAAGCAAATATTTATTTATTTTAAATTTAAATTGATATATTTTTGTCACATCGTTTCTATCGATTCTTATTTTTGTTTTAATTTTCTCTTTGTTTATTAATTTTTGTGTAATGGATGGCGTGGGGTTGTGTCCGCAAATTATTTGCGGATTTGTCCGCAAAATACTTGCGGGCAAGACTTGCATTTTTGATAATATCAGCGTTGACTTTTCGTTTTTTTCCAGGATTCCACTTTGTTTTTTAAACGATTCTTTACCTTGAAATGCAAGAGCGCGCATTTGTATTTCGATAAAGAGAATTGCAAATTTATCCGCAAAAAATTTGCGGACAGTCTGAAAAAAATTTGTGGACAAATTTGAGTAGATATTTATTTTTTTTAACTAGTGAATGGAGAGCAATAAATTTAATGAAACTGATTTGTCTGTGTTAATTCAATTTGGAGATGAATCTTCTGAAATAATTACTGATGAATGTGCTGGCGGATTGACTCAATTATTGCTTTGTGCTGGCGAAATTTATTATGGACAATTCGTCTTACTTGGGTTTCTTTTATTTTATCAAAGAATTATTTTTCATTTTCTAGCTATAACGGTGCTGAATTAACTGGAGAACAGAAGAATCATGCAAATAATCGAAAAAATTTTTCCAAAATGTTTTTCAAACGCCGTTTGGAGCCAAATGGAATAAAGAAAGGTTCAGTCACTAAATTGAGTGGAACTGCTGCAGCCAACAAAGCTAAGGCTTTGCGTGATTCTAATAGACATACAGTGGCTTTCGGTTATGGAAAGAATGGAACAGTTGTTGTAGAATATTTGTTAGACCCTACCAAGGATATGTTTCAGGTTTGGTGTTTTTTAAGCAAATTTTTGAGTTATGTATTACTCACAATCAGACTATTTTTTGTGAATCAGTCAAGGCTCTTCCTTATGGGTTGATGGTTTTAGAGGCGGTTCGGAATTTAGGTTTCGATTTGTGATTGCTGACTAACGTAACTTAAGTCGGGTATCACTTTGAAGGGAGCATGCCGTAATGCCAGACGTAGTACCAAAATGACGAAATTTATGCCAGTTCTTATCCTAATTTTTTGGAGTTTAAGCATAGTATATTCATCAGGCTCATTTCTCCCAAGTCATTTAAACTTGAAAATTTCATTAACATCAAGTCGGTTATCATTTCAAGGGATCGCGTCTTAATTCAAAAACGTCGAAATACCCAACCGCCAAAATTAGTGCCAGCTCCAACCCAAATCTTAAATTTCAAGCTTGATATATCCACATGATAGCACGTCCCTGAGTTATTTAAGCATAAAGAATTTTTTTTCTGATGTGTGTTGACCAAAATTTCTAATTCAATTTTTCTTTTTCAGATTGGCCGTTCTTCAGAAGAACAAATTGACTTTACAATAGTAGACACTTGGCTAGCTTCGGGTAATGGAGGACATCCTTCTCCTTGTTGTGGTGGACATAATAAAAGCCGTCATTCAAGTCATAGAGAAGAACATTCCGAACAAAAAACAATTAGTTCAACAATATCTCGCTATGCTTGTCGTATTTTGGCTGAAAGGGACAAACCTCACAGAGTTTGGATTTTTTTGGGTTTTTGACTATTTTTGACTTTTAAAGGTTCAAATTTTTGCTGCTGGTTTTGACTCTTCTCGTAATATTTTTCTTGGAGAAAAAGCTACCAAATGGCAAAAGAAAAATGGGGAATTTGATGGATTAACTACAAATGGTGTGCTTATATTACATCCAAATTGGTGTAACGGGGAGGAGCATTCGGTTAATTTATTTGGTTTTTTAAAGAATTTTTTTTATTTTTTAGGACGATACAGGGGATATGTACATTTGGAGAGAAGGTTATTTTTAATTGAAAAAATATTTAAAATTTATTTTTGTGTTTAGTTTCGGTAGATGGGGATATTTACACTTTGCGTTCAGCTCGATCTTCAACTCAACGTGGTGCTTTAGTTTTGGGTGAAACCAATGAACTGCAGGTTGAGTTGAAAAAATATTTAATTATTTTGGTTATTGCCTGGGCAAGGGTTCATCCAGGAGAGGGAGATGATGTTAAGGGGATACACTCCCTGGATACTCTCAAAATTAATTTGCTTGATAAAATAACTGTCTGGTTTATATAATACTTAGCTTAACCTCCCCCTTTTATGTTTCCAAATGCATAGCCAAGGGGTTGATTTCAGGGGGCAACCCCTCTGGCTGCGCCTTTGCCTCTTTCTGCTTCGGAAAACCTACGTATTAAATGTTCTCTTTTTCAAAAAACAATTGTTTGATTCTCTCATTTCCCCCAATTTCAGGACGGTACTCTAATCGATCTTTGTGGGGCTACACTTTTATGGCGTTCTGCCGAAGGGCTAAAACAAAGTCCATCAAAAGTTGAATTGGAACATAGACTTGACGAACTTAATGCTGGCAAACCTCAATGTCCAGTCAATTTAAATACTTTGGTTATTCCAAGAAAGCGACACAGCAAAAGTAGCAGTAGTTCAAAACAGCCTTATGTGAGGAAAAATTTTTTTTAATTTTTTATGATAATTTTTGTAGGTCTATTTCCGTTGTGGGCATGTTCAAGGAAAACACAATTGGGGAGGTATTATTTTAAATACTATATTTATTTTTTCAAACTGCTATTTTTACGAGTAGAAGAAGTTTTTTTTGGAAATTTTAAAATTAAAAAAAAAGTTTGCAAATTTAGTCCGAAAGTTTTGTCCGCAAATTCAGTTCGCAAATTTTGTCCGCAAGTTTAATTTTTCTGAAAAAATTTTTTTGGGAATTTTGAAGTTTTTTTGGAGGGCATCCAGGCGAAAAGTCAATGGCAAAAAAATCCGCAAGTTTTGCCCAAACTTGATCCTCAAATTTTATTTTTCGTTAAAATTCTTTTCTATATATTTATTTAAATTATTTTTGTGGACATCCAAGGGTATCCAATTTAAACAAAAAAAATTTTTAAAGTTCAAAAGAACGGTTCAGCAGTAACATTTCGTTGTCCAATATGCCTCGTCGATTCAGAACGTGTAGCTCAATTAACAATGGGCATGGAATCAGCCTTTCATCTTGACTCGGGTCTTTTGGAATATTCATTTAATCCGTGTGGACATATGGCTAGTAAAAGGACTGTTCGGTTTGTTTTTTGAGAAATTTTGTCTAAAAAATTTTTTCTTTTAAAGTTATTGGTCTCGTATAACAATGCCTCATGGCACCAATTCATTCCATCCAGTATGTCCATTCTGTACATCTCTACTTACTATAGACAAGCCATTTGTTCGATTGATTTTTCAGGATCATTGCTATGAAAATTGAATTTTTAATAGGAGAAAGGTGGAAGGTTTATTTTTAGTTTTTTTAAATGTTAATTTATATGCGTGTCTCGTATATATGACGAACCTAAAAGAAAATTTTGGCTCTTGTTCAGTTTAAGCGTCCAATCGCATTTTATGCGTCCAAGCGCACCTTTATATGTCCAATCAATCTTTATACGTCCAGTGAAACGTTTATACGTTCAAACAAATTTTTATGCGTCCAATCACATATTTTAAGTACCCGGTTCTTTGTGTTAAAACCGTTGGTCTGGTAATATGTTTGTGTTTTATAACTCTAGTTGAGTAGAGGTTTCTATTTTTTGGTAATATAGTGCAGAACCGGGTACTTAAAATATGTGATTGGACGCATAAAAATTTGTTTGGACGCACAAACTTTTCATTGGACGTATAAAGATTGATTGGACGTATAAAGGTGCGATTGAACGCATAAACTGGACAAGAACCAAAATTTTTTTCTTCCAAAAAAATTCCATTTTTTGTGTGTCTTTTTTTGATTTTTTAATTAAAATCGAAAAATATCCTGCAATTGAATCTTTTATTTAAATAAAAAATAAAATTGTTCTTTCATTCACCAAAAAATTAAACTTAAAAAAATGTTCAAAAATTCTGTCATAATCTGCTTATACCTAAGAAATCTTCAAGTAAAGAAAAACGAAATTTGTCTCTGTTTTCTCATGTTTATTTTTATGACTAGCAAAGAAACACTTGATTAAAGAAATACCGGAAAAAGTTGGAATAAAAAAAGTCCGCAAAATCTGTCCGCAAATTTTGTCCGCAAATTTATTTTTTTATTATTTTAGTTTAAATAACTATTTTTATGGTTATCTATTTACACGATTTTACTAACCAATAATCATCAATTTTTATTTTATCTGGTCTTTTGTTAAGTCTGCGAAAAGAAAGCATGATCAAATTTGCGGACATTTTTGCGGACTTTTTTTTGCGGACTTTTTTTGTGTGGACTTTTTCAAAAATTTTAAAAATAAAATTTTTAAATCAAGTATTTTTTGCTTTTCTTTAACATTCTCGCCTCTCTACTTTTTATTTTTATTTCTTTTTTATCTCAATTCTATTTCTGATATGAATATTCATATACTTGAATATATATTTTAATCAAAAAATTTTTTTTGTATTTCCTGTATTTAAAAATTAAATTGATGATTGTATTGCCTATTTGCTGAGAAACAATAAAATAAAAAATTTTGAATAAAATTTGAAAATGTGGAAATTTTTTGAAATTTTTTAAAAGAAAATTTGGTTAATTTTCCATTGTATTTTTGGTGTTTTTGAATTTTTAATTTATTTTTTTAAATTTTTTCTTGTTTTTGGAAAGGATAATGGAAGCGGTAAGCATTACAACAACAAATACAGCAACTCCTCTATATTTAGGGGATTTGGAAAAATGCGGAATTGCGACGTCTAATAATTTGAGAGAAATTTTGACAACGTGTGCTGATCCTGTTGAGGCTATTAAACAATTTCAAGTGGCTAATAGTGTTCAGGTTTGTGGATTTTGTTTTATTTTTTGAGGGTAAAAATGGTGGGGATGCTTGTAGTGCGAGTGTCCGTTCCTTGAGTTAGCCCGACACGATTCTTCTTTTTTTTTTATCCGCAAATTTATTTAATGAAAGTTTTTATAAGAGAGTTAGCTCTATTTCTCTTAGAAAATATTTAATTTTAATTGAGAAATAGCCTTTATAAAAATATATAACTTATTTTATTTTTTAGCTTCCTTCTCTAAAACCAGTAATGAAGCTGTTGGATTTACATGGAATAAGTAGGGCTGACTATCATGAGACGGTTTGTATTTATTTTAATAAATTTATTTTTAGTTAAGCTTAAAATTTATCTAATTGTTTGATTACGTTCGTGGTCGAGTGGTTAAGGCTTTGGGGTTTTGATTTTTATAAGCCTGAGTTCGATTCCTTTTGTTTCCGGTATTTTTCTCTTGAAGACTTAGTCTAAAATTTTGTTAAGTGACTTTTTTCAATTAAAAAAAATTTTATTTTTATTTTTTTAAAGGTTATTACCGAACTCACCGAACGTTTAGTATCAAAATTGCGTTCACTCGGCAACAATCAAACACCTGAAAATGTACATAGACTAGAACGACATTTGGAGCGCTGTTTTCGTCTTTATCGTGTTCCGAGGATTAGGCCTATAGTTTTGGAAACACTTGGAAGGTTACCTAAAGTTGCGGACAGGTTTTTTCTAAATTATTTTTTTATTCAAAATTTAATTTTAAATAATAGATATTTGAAGCTCATAATTTGTGATAAGGTTAGTCCGCAAGTTTTGTCCGCAAAAATTTTTTTGATTTAAAATTTTTTTTTGATTAAAAAATTATAAAAGATTACTTTTATGAACTGACAGCTTGTCAAAAATTAAGAAAATAAATTTTAAAGCTTTAAATTCTTTCTAAAAAATAATTTTTAGGAACTCTATGATCAATGTTCAGTCTCTGTCCGTCAACAAATTTGGGTTAAAAACGAAACTCTTTTTCTAGAATCAATCGAACCCATTTTGGATAGTTACATTTCTGAGGAAAGAAGACAACATTTAATATTTGGAGAAAAAGGTTCCGATGTCTTAAATGAATCGCTAAGTGAAGGACACGGCCAACAATTGCTTTCCCCGGGCATAAACGTTACTAGTAGCTTTTTTGCTGGGGAAGTAGCTACTAAACAGAGACGTCAGAGAAAACAAGTACAAGGTTTTTATTTAAATTTTTGTGGGGAAAAGGTTGCAAGTTTTGTCCGCAAATTTTTTTCAAACGCTTGCGTAAAAATTTTTTTCATTTAAAATTTCGGACTTATGTTAACTTGCGGACTTTTTAAAGATAATGTTTTATTGAGTTAAATTTTTGTGACGAAAAGTCCGCAAGTTTTGTCCGCAAACTTCTATAAAAATTTGCGGACAAATTTTTTCTTTTAAAATTGCGGACTCAACTTGCGGACTTTTCTAAAAATATAATTTTTTAATGTTCTTTTTTTTGTAGAATTAATCTCAATGATTGGGTTAAGAGAGCAACTCTATACTAGACTAGTGGTAAATTTAAAAATTAAATTTCGTCATAATTTCTTTAATTAAAGGATACTCTTCGTGAACGTTTTTTGGCAACAGAAAATCCTTATTATTGTTCTTTGCGGTTTGATTTATTAATGGCTCTTAGAGATGTAAATATGGAATTTTGTGGGAAAGTAGGTTTGTTTTTTTGTTTATTTAAAAAAAAATTATTTTTTCAGATGTTTGTCATGATTTTGCTTGGTGTTTAGATGCTTGTTCTAAACATTTGAGAACTAAACATTTGGGTTATTTTTTAATTATAAAATTTTTTAAAAATTCATTTTAAGATGTTCAACAATTAAATAAACTAAAGACGTTATTAGAAAGTGGTGGTGGGGGAAAGAAATGTCAAAACAAGGTTTTTGTTTTTTTCATTAAGTTAGGCTAAAGGTAGTTAATTTTCCTTATTTTTATTTTTGTATAAGTTGATTAAATAATAGTTTGTTGTTTAGTGATGTTGTGGTGTAGTTGGTTGTACGTTTGGTTTTTACTAGAATAGACTTGGGTTCGAGTCCTCTTGGAGGAAAGATCTTTTTATCACCCCTGTTATTTTATTTTTTAAGTTTCTACTTTAAAAAAATTTTTTTTTAAATTTCAAAAATCTCAAAAAAAATTTTTTACTTCTAAAAAATTTTTTTTCTTTAATTTCTGCAACTATTTTTTATTTATTAAAAAAGTATTTTATTTTAAAGGCAATAATAATTCCTGAAATGGCAATGATTGCTGGAGACCCCCATATTCTTCATTTAATTGCTTCTTTCGCTGTCAAAATGTTGAGAGATAATGCTGCTAGTCCTCGTCCACATTTGCCTAAAGAAATGGGTTCTTTACAATTACTTTTAAAATTGTTAGTAATGGGCATCCACTGCAAATCTTTATTGTTGGGAGAGGAACAGTTAATTAATTTGATTGAGGGAGAGTTGAAAGAAGTTGTTGGACACTTTTTACCTTCTTTTTCTACAATGCTTGTACAGGTTTCTTTTAAATTATTTTTGTTTTTATTTGGCTTGAGTCTAGGACCCAACCTTTAAATTGGAATGTAGAAGGCTATAAAAGATTCTCTTCGATTAAAGGGTGGGTTAGCTGATCCGGGGAAATCTTTGGATACCCGAACCCGATATCCAAAAAAATTGTACTTTTTTCTGACGGAATATTTTGATTCTTCGACAATACTTTTAAATAATAGGGTTTCTTCGCTTCTATTATGTGCCCAAACCTGAGTTTTGGATATCCCGACTTTTGGATCCAGTTATCTGGATCCGCCATTTCTGTTTTTAAGGATTTAAGGGTTTCTTTCGCTTCCATCCACAGCGAATTTCATCTTTCTCTCTCCCATTTTCCCTTTTTCAATTTATATTTTTACTTCTTTACAGGATGCAATCCGTGCAGAATTAACACTTTCAACTCCAATAAATCTTCCTTCTCCAACAGAAGAATTTTTATCTTTTGACCAAAGACCTCCTTCAATTGATAAATTTATAAAAGAAAAATATTTATGTTCACTTTTGTGGGTACACCATTTAGTTTTGGGTGGTGAATTTTGCCCTATAAGTGGAACAATTAAAAGAAGACAACTATTTGACCCTTCAAATGCTTTTAGATATTGTGAACCTTTAATATGGATGGCTAAAAATGTAAATTAAACATTAGTATTTTATATTTTGAAGGGGTAGGGTTATGGAAATAGGATGTCGGGGTCCGTGTCGGATTTTCAAAAAAATTTCTTTGGCTCAGGTTTCGAGTCGAAGGAAGGTTCGAGTTTCGGCTAACTCGACCTAATAAATTTCACATGGGATGGGTGGGGTGTGCGGAATTTGCATCTCTGAAAATTCCATCTTCTAGATTTTTCATAACATTCGTCTCCAAATTTTTGGAATTTTCTGTCTCATTGAAATTTTCGTCTTCGTCGATTTTTTTTGAACTCATGGTCTTATAAACTAGACCAGAGCCAATTTGGCTTACCACTCTATGTGTGTGTAAGGGAGAGGGGGAGATGTCAAAAAGATACCTTCTATTTAAGTTACCTCTCATTATAAGCTCAATTTTTCTTTGGGATTAATTTTTCCTTGAAGGTCCGATTGTGTTAATAATTAAATAATTTTTTTAAGTTAGCAATCAAAGATCCCTGGGTACAATTACTAGTCCAAAAATTGATGCAATTCCCAGCATGTCTTTCAAATGAATTAACAGCAAATTTATTTATTCAACAATTTTTTATTCCAAATTTAAAGGTTTTTTTAATTATTTTTTTTTGAAAATTTTTTCTGAAAATTTTCTGAAAATTTTTCTGAAAAATTTTTAAGAAAAATTTTTTTGAAATTTTGAAAAAAATTTTTGAAAATTTTTTTGGATTTTTTTGAAAAATCTTTTTGGATTTTTTTCTGGAAAAAAATTTTTTTGAAAATTTTTTTTGAAAAATTTTCTTTCAAAAAAATTAAAATTTTTTCAGCGTATTCCCAGTGCCAAATTTAATTTATTACGTTTAACTTGCCATCATCGTTCAACTATTCCACTAAAAATTTTCGTAAATTCTTTGGAGGAATTGTTAAATATATTTAATAAATGCCAGGAATATTTGAAAGAATTGGAAGAGGAAAAAGAGTTGGAAGAGGGGGAAGTTGGGAATGAAGAGGAGGAGGAAGAGGAAGGAATTAATGATAAAATATTGTGTCAAGCTTTTATTAAAGAATTTGGGAAATTGAAAGAATTGATGGAAGAGGTTTTCTTTTTTATTTTTAAAAATAAGAAGGGGAAGAATTTGCGAATTTATACTTGCGGACATTCAAAAAAAATTTTGGATGTGTGTTATTTGTCCGCAAATTTTGTCCGCAATTTAAAAATTTTTTAAGTAAGAAGGGGAAGAATTTGCGGATTGATTCTTGCGGACATTCAAAATTAGAAAAAATTATTTTTTAATGTCTACCTCAAATTTGAGTATTTATATTAGAATCAAATATTGATATAAAATTGGCTGGTCCGCAAATGTATTTTTTGTCCGCAAATTTAAAAAATTTTAGTTATATTTTTTATTCTTGTTTTCTGAAAAAATAGCTTACCTAAGCTAATGTAAACGTATCTATTTGTATCTCCTAATTTTAAAATAAGATTCTATATTTTTAACAGTTGTCCGCAAATTTTGTCTGCAAATTTCATTCGATCAAACAAAAGAATTTTTTAACATGTCTGTCCCTATTTGTTAATAACCTTTTCGATCCTCTAAATTATTTTATATTAAAATATTTATATTAAAAAAATTTTTTTCAGGCAAATATATCGCGTGGAGGAGGCCCTCCTCCACTTTCACAACAATTATCAACATCCTCATCAACACCATCAAATACTAGTTGTAGTAGTAAAGAGAGTTGTACAAGTAATTTGGTAGAAAGACAACAACAAGAATAATATTTATTTTTGTTTTATTTATTTTTTATAAAAAATTTTTTTTGAATTTTATTTTTTCTATTTTTTAAAAATTCGTCTGAATTTTTACTTATTTTTTTTAATTAAAAAAATTTTTTTTTAATTTTTTAAAATTTATTTTCAGATATTTTTTTTTAATTTGACAAATTTAATTATGCAAGCGATTAATACTCGAGAACAATTTGAGGATTTTATTAATTCTGAGGGGTATTTTTTAAATTTACTTTTAATTAATTTTTTGATTAAAATACTACATAGAACTGTTTGAGGACATTTTTCTAATGGGGTTTAAGGGTAACTTTGACGAAGGGGCGTCTTGTGGTTCGGTGGTGTATTGGTTAGGATTCTTTGTTTCCCCCTAAAGGATATGACGGTTCGAATCCCTTTGGCTGTAAACATTTTTTAAACTTTTTTTAATGTTTAAATTAATTTTAGATGTTGAAAGTAATTTTAAAAAATAAATTTTGATTTTTAAACAATATTTTAAATTTTTTAACACTATTTAACTTAATTCTAGAAGACTAAATTGATGGGAAAAATAGAGAAAAATGGGGAAAATTTTTTTTCGAATAAATAAAAATCCTAAAAATGTTTAGGAAAATATTTTTAAAGTCTAATAAAATATATTTTTTTTAATTTTCCCTATTTTTTTAGAAAATTTACAAAAATTGTTTTGTTCTCGGCAAGTTGGTCAGAAGCTTGTAATGATTATGACAAATTAATTTTGGAATTAAAAAATGAGAAGGAATATGGAACAGATTATGAAATTGGGAAATTGGTAGCTGAGGAAAATGAAGAAATTGCTAAAGAATATCAAGTGAATTCTATCCCGACAATTTTGGCTTTTCAGGTTTTTTAATTTTTTTTTAAATTTTTTCCCTTATGAGGTGGTCATTTTTAACATTAAAAGCGAGTTAAAAGCTATTTTAAGCAAATTAATTTAAGCTGCTTTGTGGTGTACTGGTTAAGGCTCTCGATTACCTTGTAAGGGGTCTGTGGTTCGAGTCAGGGCTGATCGAAATAAAAATATTTTTTATTTCGAATCGAAACGAAATAAAAAAATTCCTATTTCGTTTCGGAGCGAAACGAAACGAAATGAGCTTGTTTCGGACGAAACGAAACGAAATAAACGAAATAAAATAAAAATTAAGAAATACTTATTTTTCAGTTCATAAAGGCTTTTTATCGATATTTAAATAATAGATATGCACCCCAAGAGCTAGATGCGTGACAAAAGCAACCTAGAAAGACGAGTGAGTCCTATAAATCTGCCGATATCCCCATTAATCTCCTTAAATCGACATATATCCGCCTTAATCCTCCGATATCCTATTAAAATCCATCGATATATCCAAATTACTTTGGAGTATACCACTTTAGATACCGATCAAGACGGATATTAAGAGGGATAGATATCTTGTATATCTCAAAATATATCTTGTATATTGCGATATCTTGTATATCCCCCTATATTCACTTAATCCATGAAATCCAAATATACAATAAATCCACCTATATCCTCTTAATCTCGCCCATACCACAATATCACCTTAATCTCGCCAAATCTCAGTTCAATATCACTAATCCCTCGAGATCTCTTTTAATCCACCGCACAAAGTAATAAAAATTTTAGTATAACTCCAATTTGGAGTACAACTCCAGCATATTCAAATCTAGGTTTCAAAAATTTTTATTATTTTTAGATCACAGAAATGAAGATTTCTGACTATGGTAGGTTGGGCGATGGAAGGCTGGTCTGCTCTAGCAAACCCCGTAAAAGCTTTCTTCCATTTTCAGCGCCGCAGGCGAAAATTTTTTAATTTTAGGCTGCTCATAAGACAGAAATCACTAAAAATTAATCATTATTTCCATAAATTCCCGTCATTAGGGGTGCATTTTCTCACTTTTTTTTTGTTTCGTTTCGTCCGGAATTTTGTCTATTTCGTTTCGAAACGAAACGAAATAAATTTTTTTCTGTTTCGTTCCGAAACGAAACGAAATGGAAAAAAGGGCACGAAAGAGCGAAACGAAACGAAACGAAACGAAATTTCGATCAGCCCTGGTTCGAGTCCCTTTAGTGCTATTTAGTTTTTAAATAATTATTAAACTTGTTTTAATTAATTTTAAATAGTTTTTTGACTTAAAATTTTTTTTTTAATTTTTATTATAGAAAGGAAAATTAATTGACCGTATAGAAGGCTTCATTCCAACAAAACTCAAAGAATTATTAATTAAATCCACTTTTGATGCAATTGCAGCAAAGAAGGAAAATATTGATAAATTAAGAGAGACGGCAGAGAAAACAGAGGGTGAAGAAAAAAGTGAGGAAAAACAACAAGAAGAGGTTTAATTAATTTTTAAAAATTGAAAAAAAAATTTTTTTAAAGTTAAATGAACGACTTAAACGTTTAATAAATAAAGAACGTTTGACTCTTTTTATGAAGGGATCACCAACTGAACCAAAATGCGGTTAGTTTAAAAAATTTTTTAAAATAAAAAATTTTTAATGAAAATTAGTAAAGATCGAGCTGGGCTTCAGTCAACAAACCAAGGCCTGGATTTTTCCTTTACCCAGAGTACAGGCCCAGGCATTTATTGACTTTACTGGGGTTTTCCTGGGTCTGGGTTTCCGGCCCAGGTCAATAAATCAAACCCCAGAGCCCAGGAACAGGCTTCCAGGCTTTTTCAAAAAATCTCGATCTCTAAAAATTAGTTCGAAAATCTTAATTCTTTTTCAGGCTTCAGTCAACAAATTGTCAAACTTTTAAAAGCCCACAACGTCCAATTTTGGACCTTTGATATTCTTCTAGACGAACAAGTCCGTCAAGGATTGAAAATTTATAGTGATTGGCCTACTTACCCACAACTTTGTTTGTTTTTTGAATTTAAAGATAAAAAGAAAAAATTTAGATCTGGATGGTGAACTTTTGGGAGGTATTGATGTGGTAAGAGAAGAAATGAAAGATCCTGCTTTTGTTGAAAAATTGCCCAAACTTGTTTGAGGGCTTTTTTGACTTAAAATATGTTTGTTTTTTCTTCAATAAATTATTTTTTAAATTAAATTTACTGGTGTTTGTTCCTGTATTTCTGCCCATAATTTAAGGAATTTTTGAAATTTAGAAATCCGCGAAAATTTGGCATAGACAAGAAATAGTGCGGATATATAAAAATAATTCAAGCAGTTTAGGTCGGCTGTTTGCCAAATGTTAAGAGAGGTACGTGAGTTACTTCGTCTTTGGCACTTTTTTAGAATAACAAAAAATTTCAAAAATTATTTTAATAACTAGAAAATATTTTAAGGCAAATAACTTTCAACAAGATTTTTTAGAAAATATAAAAATTTTTATCAAAAAAATAAATATGGCAGTGTTAAGGTAGTAACAAAAAATAAAGAATACAAAAGCTTCAGGGCAAAAAAGTTTTTAAGGCAATAAAATATCAAGTGAAAATTATTTTCAAAAAAAAAAGATTGCCAAAAAAGATAAAATTATTTAAGGAGCGACAGGCACCGACTAGACTAACAATTTCAGTTAATCGGAGCTTGCGGGATTTTTCCCCTTTCCTGTAAATTCCGGTTTCCGTCAGTTTCTTATAATTTAAATTGTCCGCAAGATTCGTCCGCAAATCTAAAATGTCCTCAAATTTGTCCGCAAATTTTTTGAAAATGTTCACATAAGAAATGATTAATATGCCCTAAACAAAAAATATTTTTTCCTAAATTTTCGTTTTCTCAATCCTTTTCTTTTTCCATTTATTTTTACTCTTTTAAATCTAATTTTTTGAAGATCTTCGTATATCCAACCCTTTTTATCTTCTACTAGTGATTGAAAATTCTTTCCCACTACAAAAGGCTTTAATTTAGTCCAAACTTTTCTTTTGTTAATAGACAAAAAAAATTTTAAAAATGTATAAACAGAATTGCACAAACGGTAAACTTCACGTCCATCGTCATAATATCCTGATCCATGTCTAGACCTGAAAAAATTTTTTTTTTAATCTGGAAAAATTGTCCTCAAAAGTTTGACCATTTTTAACCCCTATTACCTATGGTTTTCTTAATATTTTAAACGCAATTATCTCTGAGTAACTCAGCCCAGAGATTATTGCGAGAACCAATTCTAGCTCGGCGATCTCTATCGATTGACTGCCATTATGCACATTTTAAACAAAAAATGGATGAAGGAGGTGGGTGGCATAAGTACCAAAAAATATAAAAAGTTGCGTTCCCTCCGAAAATCAAATGATTCTTGTCCGCAAATAATTTTTCAATTATTACTCCAAACTTACGACATAAAAGCGGGCAAAATTTTTGGGGAAAAAATTAAAAGGAAAAAAGAAAAAAATTTCAAACATCCAATCAGCATCGGAAATAGCACCAGAAATTGAACAATCGTACTCGCTTTTTCGATCAACAAAACGTGAAGCGAATTCGCCCAAAATTTTTATTGCTTTTTTTGATCGAACATCAATATGTAATGCTGTATAGTAGTGATGTTCGGGTATCCCGACTCCCGACACCCGACTCGGGAAATTTCCCGAGTTTTTGGCCTCCCGATCCCGACCCCGACTCCCGATGTCAATTCCCGACTAAGTCGGGAAATTTTTACACCCCTAAGAATGGCTTTTTCTGATAAAATTTTATTTTTAAAAGGAAAAAATAAAGAGAAAAAAATAAAAAAAGGGAGAGGGAAAATACAATATTAAATTTTTTTCCTAGTTAGCTATTGTTGATAGGTGGTTGAGTGGTTAAGTTCAGTGATTTCAGCTAATTTGATGGGGCTGGGTTCGAATCCAGTGTTGTGAAATGTATGTAATTAATTTTTCCTTCCAAAAATAAATGGTTTTTAACATTCAATTTGATTTTATAATTTTAAAATTATTTTTTTCAATATTAAAACGTAAAAAAACTCTAGAAAAATTAATTTAGTCATGAATTTTCAAAAATGAAGAATAGCGGCGCAGAAAATGAAGAATATCTGGATTCTTGGCCTCAAACTTAAAAAAAGTTTGCTTGCGACGCCTAGGGAGGAAAAATTTGACTTCTTGATATTCCAAATTTAAAAAATTTTCGCTCATTGGCTTTACAATTCTCAAAATTTTCGCCTCCGGCGGTAAATAAAAGAAGTCTGGTTCTTAGACTTCCAAACTTAAAAAAATTTTGCCTGCGGCGCAGACAAAGAATTTGAGATTAAGAGGGATTCAAAAGATTAAAAGGTAAAAAGTCCGATGGAATAGGTGAAAAGTTCCTTGGAATAGTTTGGTTTTCGGATAAGCGGTGAAATTTTGATGGAATAGGTCAAGCCCCCCTCCTCCCCAGCCACAAAATTGGCGAAAGGCAAAGGGCAAGGAATATGGAGATCGGAAAAGTGAATTTTTTCGTCTACGACCTCCAAGTTCTCAAATTTTTGCCTGAAGCGCTGAAAATGGAAGATATCTGGCTTCTTCACTTTACAAAATTCACAAAATTTTGCCTGCAGTACAAAAAAAAAACGGAATTTTTGGCGCCGAAGGCGCCAAAATTTTTTTTATGTGAATTCCCGACTCCCGATCCCGACTCCCGAGGTCATTTCCCGACCCGACTCCCGTTTCCCGATTCCCGGGTTTTTTCTTCTCCCGAACATCACTACTGTATAGTATTCTTTAACAACAATAGTGATAATTTCCAAAAACTAAAAAAATTTTTTTAAAAGGTACTATAGAATGGGACACGTCCAAAAGGACGCGCAACGACGCAAAGCCAGAAATTAGCTAGAAAATTTCTGGCCCCTAAAAATTTTCGGTAACTTTTTTTTTGGGTTTTTTTGGCTCACTCCTATAGATAAAAATAACAATATGAGACGATAATGTAATAGTATCCAAAAAAGTTTAAAAAAGTTATACAAAAAAATATAAAATACCCTCTTAGCAAGTCTCCTATCAAACATTCTATCAATAATTCTTTCTTCAATAAACATTTTTTGTGAAGCCTGAAAAAAGGATTAGGTATATTTACATACATGTCTAAAAAATATTTTAATAATTAATAATTATACGCACCAGCGCGACGGTTAAAGTATTAAAAGTAGGTATTCGAATGTCCAAGAAAATCCCTCAAAAATCTAATCAGGGTATTTTTAAAACTGAAATGAGGGGGGAGGGGGGACTTTCTACAAGTTTTCAGTTAACCGTTTATGTCCAACACCAGTTTATAAAGCTATACTCGAAATATACAAAAAAAAATACCGCTGCAAAAATTCGGTTGTTAGATGCCCGTCTGTCATCCAAATAATTTATATCGCCAAAAAGAACACCCAAATAAATAGCGCCAGTTGAAATTGCTCCATCCTCAAGTTGGGAATCATTATATATTTTCTTCTTCTTAAAAATTTCTTCAAAACCATTTTTAATCTGTTTTTAATAAATTTAAAAAAATAAATGAAAAAAATTAAAAACTTGTTAAAAATTCAGGATATAGTTTAGTCGAGGGCCCGCTCCAAACCGGGTCGAAACATATGTCATTCGATTAGTCTCGGCGAGCTGAGTCGAATGGTACCACTCCCTAAGTGCGGAAATGCCTGTGGACCGAGATATAGGTCCTTGAAATTTGAAAAACCATAGGGGGGAGTAAGCTGAATTTTGGGGTGAAAAATTCGATTTTTTGTATGATAGCTCATTCGAAAGAGCTCCACGAGCTGAGTCGAATGACACCAAAATCACTGTGATCAAACAAGTTTGGGCCGAGATATAGGGCTCGAAAAGTCAACGTAAACCTAAGGAGCGTCGGCGAGGCGCTTGTGCAAAACTCCGCGCTTCGCGCGGAGTTTTGCGGCACGCGCCTCGCGGGGAGTCTACGGGCGCTGGGTCTGGGCTCGTAACTTAATCCTATTCCTTTTTACCGATTCTCAGCCTTGAATGCCGACCTACCCTCCGTAGCAGCACAAAAACAGTTATTCGCGCGAAAGTTAAGTTGTTCATAATTTTGTTCAGAATCATCGGATCGAGCTGATTTTGGTGTCATTCGACTCAGCTCGAGGAGCTCTTTCGAATGAGCTATCATTTATATATTCAAATTTTTGACCCCTAAAATCGCTCTATGTGTTTAGACCATTTTGAGCCTCTTTATCTCGGCTCAAAATTGAGACCTAGAGCTGATTTTGGTGTCATTCGACTCAGCTCGAGGAGTTCTTTCGAATGAGCTATCATTTATATATTCAAATTTTTGACCCCTAAAATCGCTCTATGTGTTTAGACCATTTTGAGCCTCTTTATCTCGGCTCAAAATTGAGACCTAGAGCTGATTTTGGTGTCATTCGACTCAGCTCGAGGAGTTCTTTCGAATGAGCTATCAGACAAAAAATCGAATTTTTCACCCCAAAATTCAGCTTACTCCCCCTATGGTTTTTCAAATTTCAGGGACCTATATCTCGGCTTGTAGGCATTTCCGCACTTAGGGAGTGGTACCATTCGACTCAGCTCGCCGAGACGAATCGAATGACATATGTTTCGACCCGGTTTGGAGCGGGCCCTCGACTAAACTACAGCCAAAATTCAAGTTCACCCTTCCTTTGATACGCACGTGCGGATGCGACGATTGCGGATGACAATTGCGGATGCGACAATTGCGGATATAAAAATTTTTAAAAATTTAAGATTTTTTAAAGCCGGGACTAAAAAACAGGATATCATTTTAATCATTTTAAAATTTTTTAAAAATTTTTAATCCGCAATAGTCAAATTCGGGATTGTCGTCCGCACTTGTCATCCGTAATTGTCATATCCGCAATCATCGTCAGCAATCGTCGCAGCCGCAATTGTCGTAACACCCTTCCTTTTATCCCTCAAAGCATTAAAAATGAGTTAACATAAAAGTTTAAAGCTACTTCTAACTTTTATGTTTACAAACATTACTATATGAAGGCAGAAACTAGTCGTCTTTTTAAAACAAGTCCGGTACTATGTGTGTGTGTATTATGACTCTGGGGAAGCAGGGCCTTCTATCCCATAAAAATTTTTTGAAAACCTATTGGAAACAGAATTAGTGTACACACACGACCAAAGTTGACATAGATTCCAGAGATCAATCGAAATTCCAATTTCCGACAGTTCCTATTTCAGACACCTTTGTCATTTCCGACCGACCTCTAATAGGTTCTAAAAAGCAGAAATGATATCCATAACCCTAAAATAAAGTTTGCAACACATTTTAATTTTAATACCTTGAAAAAGGAAAAAAGGGGGGTTCAAAATAAGATTTTACAAAAAAAACCTTTGGAATTTTTGACATCCCTCCAACAACTAAAACTGAGATATCACTAGTAGATTGTTGTAAATCTTTCTCCACATTGTCTAATTGTGCGTCCTTATCATATGCTTGATTTTCCATTTCAGCATTATTTAATGTTTTTTGAACAAGTTGAACAATTTTTTGTATCAAATTTTCAGTCAATTTCTCAAATTTTGAACGTGTCAATTTTATTCGAAAATGTTTTAGTCCATTAGTATCAAGAATAATATTTGGAAGAATAATTTCAGTTAATGTAGATGCGGACAGTTCACATTTTGCTTTTTCAACAGCCTCACGTAAACGTTGAATTGCAACAGGGTCCTATAAAAATAAAATTTTTTTAAAGCCTTTTTTAAAGGGTTGTCGAATTATTATGTCTACACCAGCACTCGATTCCTTATTTATTTCACCTCACCTAAGTAAAATAAGAGACATTCTATACGGTTTCTGGGACTTGTAAAAATTGGAACTGTCATATAACGAACCTCGTTTTTTAGGAGCTAGTTGATAAAGGAGGCTGATAAAGGAGGAAGAGAAGGAATAGAACGAAAAACTAAAGGGACTCTAAATTCCGAGCTCGTAAAAAATGGGGAGCAGGCTAGTGTACCGCGAGCCCAATGTACTAAAAAATGAAATCGTTAGGCACCAGAACCGCTTGTTTTTTAGATAGGAAGTATGATGAGCGGGTTACCAGTTCTTACCCATTCCCCAATAAAAATATAAACTTGATCCGAAATTATTTATCTAAATTTAAAATACAAACATGAGGGGAATATTGGGCCGACGCAAAAATAGGAACAAGTATGAGGAAAAAGGGAAGGGGACGAACACCGGGAATAGGGAAGGAAAAAGGACTAGAAAAACAACAACTGGAAAAAGTGAGTAAAAAAGGACTAGTTGAGGGAAGAATATAAAGCTGGCACGAAAGGGGCGGGATTAAAATACTATATTATAGAATCACAGTATATTTATTCATTTTTTTAATTCACTACAGAAGGAAAAAGAAAAAGAGAATAAAGACTTAAGATCGGATTGGGAGTGTCGTACGAGAACCGAGATCTCGTCCCGATCCGGTCTATACTAAAGACCCATTTAGTAAGGCCAAAATAGCCTTACTAAAAAAATATTTTTTTTTCAAAATTTTAAAAACCTTGGTTAAATCAATCCCATTTTCTCGTTCAAATTCAGAAACAAAATAATTTACAATAGCATTATTGAAAGCATCACCACAAAGTAAAGGATTATAATTATTTGACAAAATTTCATATGATTCTTCTTTAACCGCCAAAATAGAAAATTCAAAAATTCCTCCATTTAAGTTACAAACAGCACTAAAAGATTCTTTTAACAAAATTTAGATTGGAAATTTTGAACTTTAGAGAGGGCCCCATCTTCAATTCTTGCCTATTTTTTATTCGTTTCCACTTATAGCTGTTTATAGCTTTCACATTTATGACCAGGATTGTTTGGTGAAACCGAAAAACCAAGAATTTTTCAGCTTGGTTCCAGTCAGGGCTGGGCTTATTTCGCAATTTCGCGTTTCGCATCTTTCGCATTCTCGCATTTTTTAGCGCGAAAAGTTTCGCGTTTCGCATTTCGCTTTTTGGACCGAATTAGGGGTGAGCGCAAGAGACAATCTCAAAAAACGCAAGACGCAAAACGCAACGCAAGGCCAAAATTTAACGCAAATAACGCAAGACGCAAAACGCAAAACGCAAGAACGCAAAATTGAGAAAAAATTTTTTTAAATTAAGTATTAGCCATTTTTCAGTTAAAAATTGATGTATTACTATAAGTTAGCGAGACTACTATATTACCCCTATTAATTTATTGATTAGTTAGAACAAGAGAGCTCTGAAGAGACTGCCTATTGGGTGAGAGAAGTCAGAGAAAAAATTTTTTTCTCTCCCCAAATAGGCAGTCTCTTCAGAGCTGTCCTGTTCTAACTAATCAATAAATTAAAATTGTACCCAATCCTATTGATACCCCCCCCCCCTCCCCCATCTACAGTAGACAAAACCAAAACCTTTCAGGACGTTCCGCGGCGAAGAATATATATTATCCCTAGGACCAATTCAGTGCCATATGGAATTCATTTTAGTATATTGTTTTGATATTTCGCGAGCTGACCTGTTCAGTTGGAATGAAAAATTTTTTTAAGTTCTTTGCAAATTTCCTAAAGGTATCTCGCTAATATTTTTTGCAATGTTGGATTCTTCAGCAGAAGTTATGAATCCTAGTTTACGTAGAACTCGAAGGAGTAAGATCCAACAGATTAAAATCATAGGGAGAATAATGAAATGAAGTAGTAGTAATAAAGGTATCCCATAAGCTACAGTAGGATCCAAAGCATTATTTTGTAAATCCGTGCTAGCAATTTTTAAAAATTCGAATGTTATATTCTGAGTAGTATTGGAAATGTTTTGCATTATAAAAATTAATATATTTTAAATTATCATTATTTATACAACTTTTCAACCTAGATTCGAATCTGTAACTATATGTCTATTGTAATCTATCATAATCATCTGATCAAATTCACCTAAAATAATCATTTCAACACCTCCAGTAGGAATGGGAGTATTAAATTCTAAACGAATACTAGTAGTTCCACTTTTGAGAAGCTCAAAACCACAAGAGTCATCGAGTGTCGATGTCAAAGGTATTACAAAAAAGGTCCACCCATCTTTAAATCGTGACATTGAAATATCAATGGAACGATCTGAATTAGCCATTCCAAGAGCTTCATACATGTCGACGAAAGCTCTAACAAATAAGTCTTGGGCAAACTTTAGCTTATAGGCGACCATAGGATAAATATGCCCACCAGTATGAACCGAGATATCCCTAATATCAAATGGTTTAAAATTGAATGGAGAAAGAGCAATGTCACCATTAAAGGCTTTATTCGAAACTAAGGCAACAGTAATGCGCCGCGGTATAGCCGAGCTAAAGGCATTATATTCAATTTCTGTCCGACCTGAAGTAAGATAGGTAGATTTCATTTCAGTTCGGCGAACAGCATACGTAGCAGGTTTAGATTCAAGAGTCTTATAAATGTTCATATTAAGTGATGGTTGCACTTCAACCATTTTCGAAAATAATTTAACGTCGTGAACATAAAGTCTATATTGATTACTATCACCTTCTTTGATATTTTGTAATATAAAAGCATCCTTACTTTTGTAAATGCTAAAGTGAATATCTAAATTATTAAGGAGAAATAATTCTTGATTCCCCAAATCAAAATCAAGGCGCGAAAGGAATTGTGAGCGTTTACCGTTTGCAAAAATAGAGCAGCGATTTTTAAAACCATCATCTGTAGGATCATCATGCTTTTCAGTTTTATAATATCCGATAGATGCAAGAAAATGTGATTTAACGTTGTCTGGAAATGACAACTCATTAGTAATATATGCTTTGTAAGGATAAAGAGTACCACTATCGTAAACCTCTGTATTACCAACAGTCACCTTCAACTGTTGAACAAATGTTTGTCCAATACCTTGAATCGATCCAATGCTATTATCGGTTGCTTCAATATCTACCCATTTACCAGTAGTTCCCAGCTTTTCAATTGATAGCTCGAGGTAAAGATAAGTTCGAGATAAGTCAGTCCAAAGATTATCACTGAACAATCGAAACAAATACGGAGAATCTTGTGTTATTGTACTAAGTGGGAGAATTTCTCTAAAAAAGGATCGGACAACAGAAACGTTTGTAGGAGGTACAGAAAAAATACTTAATGCGCTATTCAGTGCCAAAGGGCTGTTTTCATTAATTTGTTTTGGGCAACTCATTTTAGTATGTTCCTAACGTGTCTACTCGTAGTCGTTTTTGTGGACGGAATTTTTTATTAGATTTTTTAGAATTTTTCTTTTTAAAAGTAGGAATAAAATTAGGGGGGCCGATTCGAGAATATGGATGTTTATTTATAGTTTTTGATTTAAGATCTGGAATTGCGTCATTCATTTGCCCGATGGCGGGGGACTTTTCTATATTTTTGTATCGTTTAAAATCAAAACCTTTCCCACTTTGTTTATCAACATTTTCAGCTGCTTTTTGCAGTAAGTTTTTCAAGCCTGATTTACCTTCAGTAACAAGAGATTCTTTAAGATTTTTTCCCTCTAAGACATTGCTTAAAACTCGATTACCGGATTCTAAACCCTGTCTTCCAATAGCGCTACCAATTTCTTTACCAATTGGGATTAAATAACGAAGAAAACTTCTAAAAACTGACCCCAATCCATTACCTCGTTGATAAGGAACGCCACGGAAAACATTATACCCGCCCCATTGATTGGGTTGTTCAGTTAATGTTGACCAGTTTATATTTTCAGGATCAAAATCAATGTGCATTTTGTATGTTATGAGTATATTATTAAAGTCATCTATTTATATTAAATATCTGAGTAGTAATAAACTCAGATACAAATTTATCGGCATTAGTTCTTTTTAGTAATGAAATGATTTTATTCAATGAAAAACCTAAGCAGCGCATATAAAGAAATAAGATAACATGATTCCCGCACGTACTAGAAAAAGGTCGTTGTAACATAACAGAATTAAATTGAACTTTGTTAAACTTATTTAAATAATTTCTAATGTGATGACTTATCGGTGGCCAAATACCTAAAGAGTCATAGTATTCAATACTATTAGGTGAATTACAAAATAATGCTATCCAGTGCGTTCCAGATAAATTGCTCGGATCTGTATTAACTACAACACAGAATGGAAAAAAGTTACTCCTATAAGGAATACAGTCTGAAGCAAAGCATCCTACATAAAATCCCTTTGTAACAATATTTCTTTTTAATATTTTATCAATTTGAAGCGTATTCATTGTTAAAAGTATGTAGCCTTTTTAAAATGTAATGTTAATGTACATGTTCCATATTGGAATGGCATTAATGTGCCACCAGAAGTTCTAATTTCAATAAAAATTTCAGAAATTTCTTTTACAAGTAGCTTATGGTATTGTACACATAAAAATTGTTCTTCAATTATTTCATCTTGTTTACCTCTAATTGTCACAATTCTAAGCACTGGTGCTGTCACATCGCCTATGACCATTGGTTCAATTAAGCCAGGTGCATAAACATGGAAGCAGGACACACCTCCTCGCATATCAGGCATAAAATTTGCAATACAAGTTTCAGTTAAAATTTGCCTATCAAACCCTAAGATATATGCAAGCTGCTCAGTTAATTCAATTTTTTCTACATATTCACTATCGATGTGCAAGGAAAACCTATTTTTATAACTATGGAATTCAAAATTGCATGCTAATCTAGGTTTCCGAAATACTTTTATCCAGGGGTCAAATCCAACCTCGTTAGTTACCGAAATAATTTGTTTGAAATCATCAGTCATTTTTGAATTTTCGATATTCACCAAATCAGTAAAAATTTCATCTTCACTTTTTAAGCTAGGAACTTCAGTATCTTCACTAATAATTACGTGCTCTTCTGTAGTCACGTTAAATACTGGCTCTGTCCTTTTCTGAGAGAGTTCTTTTAATCGTTTGTATTTATCTTTAGCCTGGGTGCGAAGTTCTTTTAATTTATTTGTATACTCAATATGAAAGCTACGAAATTTTTCAACAAGTGCTTCACTTCCTTTGTTTAAGGATCTATCTAAATTATCTTTTAAATGTTGGGGATTAGTTAAGGTATTGGAAGGAACCGAAAATTGAACTACATCACCGCTTTTCCAGTAAACAGTTACAGTTTGTTCGCTATTAGTACCTAACGACGGCCAGGAGTGCGGATAAACCATAACGGCTAGGCCGACATGCCACTCAGAATTAAATTGCAACTTATGAGGTAACCTAACTCGAAAGGAATTTGTTCTATTTCCTTCTATGTTAGTGTTAGAAGGAATAATAATATAAAATGAAGTCATTTTTTTTACATATTAAAAAATTAAATTTTAATTTATG